TACCCATGAATAAAACCGAATATCTATCAGCTAAAACCGATCTGAAACTTATACAATCAATCGAAAGCCTGGAAACGAGAATTCCGGTTGAATTATCGTCGGAATCAAACCACCCTGGTTCCTGTTTCAAAATGGAACGGAATAGCACATTCCGGACCCGTTTAGTGAGATTCGTTCCCGCCCAACCACAAAACCCTTGCTGACCTGTCATAGCTAGAATAATCGCGATTCCAAGCCCCACTAAAATCAAACAAAGATACCTAACATCTCTTTTTAATTTTTCAGTGTCGGGATCAAAATAGACATTTAGTGCTTGACCTAAAACCAACGGAAAGATTGACAAAATTGCCCCTGCCACCATTCCTAAAATAATCCCGATAAACAACATTCCGCCTTCCGGTTTCTGTAATTTCCATACTTCTGAAATCATATACGATCCTGATTTTTTCCCTTTTGGTTTTTCTGTTTCCACTTCGTCTATTTCATTCACGGATTGCATGTATTCTGATCTTGATATCTCCTGTACATGATTCGATTTCAAAAGATCTTGAGCACTAGTCGTTCTTTTTTGTCCACCATTTTTAGGGTTTGATGATACACCTTCAGATGCGAGGTTGATGAGAGCAAAATAAGCTCCTTTTCTTTCCATGAGTTGTTGATGATTCCCGCTTTCAATTACCGATCCTTGTTCCATGACAACAATCCTATCAGCATTTCTTACAGTTGCTAGCCTATGAGCGATCACCATTGTTGTTCTATTCTTTGAAATTTTATCAATGGCTTGTTGGACAAGAGTTTCGGATTCAGGGTCAAGTGCACTTGTGGGTTCATCTAAAAGAAGGATTTTTGGGTCTTGGATCATGGCTCGAGCTAATGCAATACGTTGTTTTTGACCCCCTGAGAGTTGTGTTCCTCTATCCCCAACTTGTGTGTTATACCCTTCGGGTAAATTTGTTATGAATTTGTGTGCGTTTGATGCAATACAAGCTGTGATAGCTTCTTTCTTTGTGGCATTTTCTTTTCCCATCATGATGTTTTCAAGAATTGTGTTTGCAAATAGAACAGGCTCTTGACCCACCATACTCATCTGACTTCTTAGCCATTTCACTTGCAAAGTCCTTATATCGTGACCATCCAACTTAACAACACCTGTGCAAATTAAAATTGTTAAGAATTCGTTAAAGTAAAAGAAGTAATAATTTGTGGTTTGTAATAATTTTGTATTGAACATTGTTTATTTCCATTTTGCGTCAGTTTGATTGTAACAATTTATCATATAGTGAAAACTTTCGTTCTCTGGATGCCAGTGGTTTTTAACAATTTATCGTATAGTTAAAACCGTTAAGAATTCGCTAAAGTAAAAGAAGTAAATAATATGTGGTTTGTAATAATTTTGTATTGAACATTGTTTGTTTCCATTTTGCGTGAGTTTGATTGTAACAATTTATCATATAGTAAAAAATTTCGTTCTCTAGATGCATGTGGTTTTTAACAATTTATCATATAGTTAACCATTAAGAATTCGCTAAAGTAAAAGAAGTAACAGTTTGTGGTGTGTAATAATTTTGTATTGAACACTATCTGTTTCCATTAATTTTGTATCGGTTTGATTGTAACAATTTATCATATAGTGAAAACTTTTATTTTTTTGGATGTATGTGGTTTTTCTTTAAGGTTAAAGAGGATAAGAGAACTTACCCTCGTTAGGATCATAGAACCTCTCTAAAAGAGCGAAAACGGTTGACTTCCCGGCACCACTAGCACCAACTAATGCCAAAGTTCTTTGAGATGGAATCACCAAATTGAGGGAATTAAGAATTGGAAGAGTGGGTCGAGATGGGTAAGCAAAAGAAACATTCTTGAACTCAATCTTTCCATGTCCACCCGAAAGCCTTCTTCCCATACTAGAATACGGATCAATTGCTGGGATTCTATCAATAACTTCAAACACTCTACTAGCTGCTACAGTCCCTTGTGCAAATTGAGCATAATAAGATAATGATAAAGCTAAACCTCTTCCACCAACATTCACACCAAAGAAACAAGCAATGGCTGCCCCACCAGATAACTCATGTTTTGAAACCAAGATTGATCCATACCAAAAAGCCAATGCCCATGTTGAATAAGTAACCAAATATATAACACCAATTCCTATACCCTTTGCAAAACCGAGTTTCTTTCCAACAGGAATAGATTCTTCCAATAACATATTGTATTTATCTGTTAGCTTTTGTTCTGCTACGAAAGAAAACACGGTTCTAATTGAACTTATGGTTTGTTCTGCTATGCCACCGGCTTTCTTGTATGAATTCTGTGAGAAATATGAAACAAATAGTTGAAAAATGTTTAAAACTCAAATGGTGTGTCGTGAATGTTGTTTTATAAGTTTGTACCACTTCTTTTGTAGCTAAACCGACATAAACCGCCTTATATGCCATACCACAAAACATTGTTAGTGGAGTAACTGCAAGAACTGCTAAAGAGACTTTCCAAGACCTTATGAATCCAACTGTATAGCCACAAATGAAGGTGCATATGTGATGTACAAAATGCGCCATCTGTATTTCAAAAACACCAACATGTTGTTAGATATGTGGAGTCATGGATTTTCTCTTAAAAAGAGTCTTTAAGAGACTCTATGTATAGAGGCAGATGACATTGTGTCTAGCCAATGTGGGACTCAAATACGTCTTTGAGAATGTTGGATACTGATACCATGTTAGATAATTAAAAATAATAAATCCTTGAAAGTTGTACATACCTTCTCCCCCATAACTTCTTGGATTTGAGCAACATCGCTTGAGATTCCATGCATGATCTCACTAGTGCTAATTTCTGTATCAAAGAATGCAACATCTTGGCGTAGAACTGATCTTAGGTATGCGGTTCTTATTCTATGAGCTGATCGTTCCCCCACTAGTCGCCAACAAGCAATCTCTATATGAATCACAAAACGTGTAAATAGTTTCATAAGAAAACTATAAATCACATGCATGCGTATAAAATGTCAAAAGCTTACGTAAGTATGCTCCAATCACCACTAGTCCAGACAATGCCACCATGAATAAACATATCTGAAGTTATATGATTAAGAACAGAAATTAGCTAGATGACTTCATATGAATAAATTTGCATAACATGCAAGAGAACGATTTTATTACCCTTTTGACGTCTTTCATCATCTGGTCATTGTCATCGTCTAAAGCAATTTTGTTGACAAATTTTCCAAAAAGAAAGGAATACCAAGGTAAAGATCCTCCATTGACCAAAGCACCCAAACTTCCTATTATCACAAGAAAAATATCGAGTTTTGTTGAATACTTAAACAACCCAAAAACCCCAATCGGTTTTGGTGCTACATGTTCATCTTCATCATCATCATCATCCTCATCTTCATCAACATCAAACTCGTCAATATAACTCTTACTAGGACTCGAAAGCTTTTGACTATCTTCACCATAACCATAACTCTTTCTAGGACTCGACAGTTTTGGACTGAGCCCATTGTCTAAACGACCTTTTGTTCTTTCTCTATTAGTAACCATGTCTGCGAAAGTAGCAGTCTTGCTGAGAGTAGGATTGTTTTTGTTAGGGTTACCTTTCCCAACATAGCTTTGGAGTTCAATCCTACCTGGCAAGCGGCTATGACCGGAATAATGTTCATACGACGGATTTGTAAAGCTACGAAAGTTGCCACCACCACCGCCGCCAGCGCCGCCGCCTGCAGCGGAGTTACGGGAAAGGAAGTAGTCATTTGCTGACCGGCGAAATACACGGCTGCCAGGGGTAGATGCGACGGAGTACTGGCTGGGTTCAGCCCAGGGGGTTAAGGCGGCGCCAAGGTTGCTGCCTCGGTTGTCGTGGAAGCCGGTGGGTTCATACTGCCATGAGAGTTCAGCTTGCCATGACTTGTCGGTGTCTGAGGCGAAAGGAGTGGTGGGTGGGACACGTGTACCTCGGGTTCTACGTGAAGCAGGAAGGTGTGGAGAGGTGTGAGAGCTGGAAAACGAGAAGGCTGGTGATTGGTGGGCTTGAGCTGGAGTTGTGTGGCGAGGTCGGCGGCGGCGGTTGTCAGTGGCGGATAAGTCCATCTCGAAAGATGATTCAGCCATGGAAGAAAGAGGTGGATGACATGCAGAATGTGAGAGTTTTTTGGGTAGAAAATTAATCAAAATATGAAAGAGACGCTATGTTTTCTCCGCAATAATAGTTGTTTTTTGTAACATTGTAGAAAGCTCAAATGTGCATTGTGTTTGCCAATGTTGTTGAATGCATTTGTTTTTATATTTGGCGCATCTCATGTTTTTTCACTAATTATATATCTTAATATCTATAGTACTAGTTAATTTTAATAGTAAATGACGAAATAACAGAATATTTATCATGGATCACGTTTGGATTTTCGTATCAGAGTTTCTACCATATTTAAATCAATAATTTGGTAATTTTTGTAAGGAAACAAAATATGTATATCTTCAAACAATTTAAATATGATACAATTGTTTTTTTTTTTTTTAATTTTACTGCTTTTGATAATTGTTTATTAATTTTTTTAATTAGTTGACTAATTAATAACTACAACTATACATAATTCTTATAAAGTGCTGAGGTAGAGGTTTCTTGTTAGATTTATGGATTAGTATTAAAAAAGAAAGAAAAAAAACTTTTATTTTGTGTTTTTTTCAAAAAAAAAAAATAAATCATTTTTATTTTAAAAACATTTTTCATTTTTTATTTTCAAAGAAACTCTTACATTTGTGCGTGGAGCAACTTTTTCGTTTTACTTCATGATATATTTCTTTTTTGGTGATATTTATGGAGTTATTGATGGGTTTTTCAACATTCATATATATAGATAAGGATGGGGCTGATACGTGTCGTTCCCACGTCCCCCCACCGATTCTGCCTTATCTTCACCGCACCCGCTTTCCAGTTCCTATCCTAAAGCGAGTCGACCTAAACAGTCTTCTATTCCTCTTTCGATCTGTTCTTCTCATCAGATGTGTGCCCAAAATTGTCCGTCTGGAATCACGCCTCATCCGCTTCCGGTTGCTCCTGTTGCTCGTCATGGCCGACCGCCGGGGCGGATGAGGGTCAGGCCTGTTCTTCCTCAATATCTTGACCACAATCGTCGACCACGAGCCGGTCGACGACGCTGAGCACAGATTGTTCCTCTTTCCTTTCCTTCTCTTGCTTTGATTCCAAAATTGCACGGTATGATTTTTTTCTTTAATTAGTTTTCAGCTTTTGTCGTTGTTTACATTATGGATTCTTATTTATTTATTTTATTTGTAGGTATATGTGGATGGTCAATTGAGGAATTAGGGATTTGTGACTATAAGTTTTTCATGAATTTTCTTTCATATTTCTATATCCGAACTGTTGGATTGAATACCTATAAGACTTCACTATATGTTTATCACAGGTATGTTTTCTTACACACATCAACGTTTTACTGATTTTTCCTCCGCCTCTGAGTTTGTTGTTTCAGCCTCAACTTAGTTTACTCCTTCCTGTAGCTGAAATTCATTTTGCGATTTCACCCAAGATTAGGGCTTTGCGATTTCAGCCTCAACTTAGTTTACTCCTTCCTGTAGTAATGGGCATGTAGTTTTACTTAAGTATTTCTTATTCAAGTAATAGTGCAAGTTCTACAACAAGTTGTTTGGTCACGGGAACAAAAAAGGATTGCAGTTGTCAATGGCGGTAGTGGTGACCACCAGAGATAATTACTGGTCACGAAAAACGCATGATTGGTATAAAAAATATAATTTTCTCATCTAAGTTGATGGATAGTTTTTAATTGGTTGATGTTTTGCTATCTTTTGGCTTTTGCTATTTCAGTTATTGGATAGTTGGTATATCTGCAAAGTCAATCAAGGTTAGTTGGTTATTGGTGTTTCACTTTCCGTGAAATTTCCCTTTTTCTTTTCTTCCAGTAACACAATAATAAAAATTGTAATTTCTTTCAGGAGTGCGTGCAGGTAAATTCAATTCCCCTCATATGTGAACAAAAACTACATGCTAGATGAGTAACTATGTACAACCATCTATCATGATTGCTAAATTAAAATAACATTGATTAAAAATAGATACTTTTTTTTTTACTTTTCTAAAGCAACCTGGTACCACATACAGGGAACATGTGCATGGATTATAATTTTTTTTTAACTTTTTTCTTCCATAAATGAGTAACATGGACAGTTTTTTTTTTCTTTTGAAATTTTAAGTTGTGTTCATATAAGTTTAGTCCTTTACTAATTTTAATATTTTTTCAATAAAAGAGTAACAGTACCAATTCCCTTTTGCAATTTCATCTATTTTTTTTTCTTCTTCTGTGATTTGCAGCCCAAATATAGTAGTATACTTACTAATATACTGCATGAGAAGACCACCATTTGTATAGTGACTTTTCCTCTAGCTCTTAAAATAGACAATGTGGTTTTTTTTTTTTTTTTATTAGAGTCTAAAGAACTTCGTTTCAAAAGCATGTTGTTATCCATATGATACAACATGAATACACATACATATTACATAGCCACACAAAGCATACCTTCAAACTCAATGCACTTAATATTGGGAAGTTGAGTATCGTAACTTTTTTTAAAAGAACATCTTAAAAAGTTAATGAGGTTCCTGCTCTTTGCATGCATCCCTGGAAGTGGAGGTTGCCACAACCTGACGTCAATCCATTTTATGGTCAAGAGGCAAAAATGTATGTGACAAACTTCGATTCTCTTTTGTTTTTTAAATTACTGTTTTACCCTTTCTGATTGGTTGGTTAACACTGTAGCTATAAAAACGATCTAGAAATATGACAGACTTAATTGCCACCCACGAATCTTTAATCATTCACCAATCTTTATTTTTTCCCACACCATTGGGAAATGATTCAGATTCAAAGTCCTTTAGTAGATCCAACCGACCAATCAGATTTCATCAACCGCATACACCTTGATCAAAACCATGAACCTTTGTTACCATATCCAATGGAAAATCGTCTCCTTATTGCTAACGATGACGTGGCAGATGCTATTCTGATGTCAGCAGGCGAATTGTTTTAGTCCATACAGATTATAGGAATCACCATGAACCACGAGTGCGGAGGCAGTACACACCGTCTATTTTGAAGAAATGAAACCGGGATTTGTGTTCGTCTTTGTCTGAGAAGCTTTGAGTCTCCTTCTGCATGGAAATCTCCTTGGTTTTCTTTTCTACCTGGCCCAAGAGTTGATACAGATATAACAATCGAGATAATTTGACATCTAACCCTTTATTTTATTTTATTTTATTTTTTCTTCTAATAAGTGGATAAAAATGTTGTTTAAAATTGATTATATGTTTTAGGATATTGGTTACTTTATGAGTCCAAGGGAAAGAAGCTATGATGCTGCACCATGGGTTATATACATCATGCGTTCTTCATGTTTACTTGCAGAGGGATTTTGGCTATGATGCTGCACCCAGGTCATAGACTGTAACGTTCACGCTTAATAGAGATCAACACTTAAGCTTTTCATATTTTTCATGTGGATTCTGATGACATACGCAGAAACCTGTTCCGTGTGATTTGTATGTTACTTCAAACTTATTTATATATGAAAAAATTACATTCAGTCTTAGTTTCATTTATTCTGTTCATTTAATGTTTCATATCGGACACACTTTATTTGAATAGTTCTATACCTTTCCTCTTAATGTTTGATATTGGAGGCATTTTATTTGATCGGTGGAATCCGGCTCCCCAGTTCCATCCCATCAACCAAAGGATAAACCCATGAAGTATATATTTCGATAAATAGCTTATCCGACAACAAAAGTTTATCCATGACGAAACAATATTACAGTCCCATAACAATACTCAAACTATAAAAAAATAAAAATTATCGCATCTGGCCCCCGCAACACGGGGTCCCCACCTAGTTATAAACTAAAGAAAATATTTGATTTTCTTTGAAACAAAAAGAAATTGTGATATGTTCAATTTTTGGTGGCAAAATGCATATAAAAATTTAATTGTTAGATGCTATATAATTTTAACATCTGAAAAATGGTTCCTACTCACTTGACATCTTAGATTGTTTCATAATCAAACAAAAAATAAAGATTTTGAACTCCAATCCATATTTATAATCTAATTTAAATTGTCATGTTTTTTCGGTTAAAAATATTTTAAATCTCAAAAGTGATTTGATCCATAATAATCTCATTATATTCATTTGAGATTGGTTTTTTTCATCAATACTCGTACCGGCAATAATAACATAGGTAACAAATTTCTTAGTTAATGAATTATTTATTACTCAATTTCAAGTTAACATGTAACACATCATTTTACTGTTTCGTAGGATTCAATACAAAATCATTGTTTATAAAATTCAAAATAGAAATATATTACTCTTTAGCCCAATTAATCGTCATAAACATGTAGGAAATGTTGATACGATTTCCTTAGATATATAGAACGCTTAGATTCGACTTCGTATGAAGAAGTTATGTTTCTTCGAAGTTTCGCGGTTAAACCGACGCGACTCTACGTATCGTAAAAAGTGAATTTTTGATAAATCACTTTTTAGCCAAAGCGATCTAAATGAAAGTCATAGTAGTCGTTAACTGAGAGTGTGCATATAGAGAACTCACAATCCGACTCCATATGGAATAGGTATAATTTTTCGAAGTTTCTGTGAAACCGGGTATAGCAGTACGCGACACAAAAATCTAATTTTAGAATGGTAGATTATTAGGAAATTAATATAAATGAGAGTAGAATATCTCATCAATAGGAGTCCGTCGATATAACGAACATCAAGAACGGAGTCTGTACATAGGAATTATGCCTTCTGCAGCGATCTCTAAACAGTCAAAGCCTATCAAAAATATAAATTTTTGATAGAGTGAGAATTAGCTGTTGGAACCTAAAGGAAAGTTGTAGATCTTGTCGAGAGATTTCCGACAATAAAAAGAATGTCAAAAACGGAACACATATGAAGAAGTTACGCCATTTTGAAAATTTGGAAAATCGCGCGCGTGAAGTGCGCGACGCGCATGATGACGTGGCACCACGAGAGAGCACCACATGACATGATGACGTGGCACCACGATAGAGATGTCTAGAATGGTTATTTTGGCTTGGTTGTTGGATTTCAGTAAGGTTATATGTCACACCCACAAACCAGACGGCGGAAACGTCCGGGGGTGGAGGACTTCATTTGTAGTATCACAACACATGTATAATAGTAATCAAAGTACAAACAACCATTGTATTTAAAAAGTATAAATATTTACATGTGTTTCATCATAGTATTCTGAAACCAAATAGTTATACAAAATAGAAAGACAATACATAAACAGCTCCATCTTCTCAAAAGCATGGGGAGTACCTGTCTACTGGTTCCCTAAGAATACAAGTAATTTGAAAAGAGAGTATCAACATAAAGTTGAGTGAGTGCATAAGTATTTATGTTTGAAAGAATGCTTTCTGTTTCTTGAATAAGTAAACTGTTCCAGAAAATCCTATATTTTCTATTGTATATGAAAAATAGTTTTTGTTACATAAAACTGTTCTATTTGTAAACCTGTGCTTGATTTCATCAACTGTACTGTAAACTGTAATGTAATACTGTAAACTGTATCTTGTAAACTCTATCTTGTAAACTGTATTTTGTAAACTAGTACTTTGAAAATGTACTTAAGTTTAGTTAATTATACACTAACGTATTGTTAATATCTTTTATATGAGTTATTATAACCATACTGACTAGATGGCATGACCCAACGCTATGAATGCGCTGAAAACTGTTGCTAACAAATTGTCACTCACAGGCACGTATGCCTGACTGTAGCTAGCAGTCCGAGTGCGGGGTTGTCAATCCCAATATAGATCTATACACACATTGTTTCGATCCCCTGCTGGAGATTCTGGTTATAATGTCAAGACTTTAACTGTGTTGTTTAAAATGAATTAAACAACCTGAACTACTTGTCTCATAAAAGCATATAACGTTACATGTATAATAGTTATGAAAACCCAATCATTCTGAAATAAATGATTGATAGTATGTTCTTGAATTAGTATTCTTAACATGTATCTGAAAGAATGTATACCCTTGAATAGTTTTGAATTAAACCTTTGTTCTTGTAAAACAATGTACTTTAGTATACTTGAATTGTGAATTAATGTTCTGCGAATCATAAATTATACCTATTATAATTTATATGTACTTTCTGAATTGATACTGAGTATTCATGAATGTAACCCCTTGCTCAACATGTTACAAAGGGTAATTGTACTTAATGAACTAACTTTTATACTTATATACATATACAAATATATATATATATATATATATATATATATATATATATATATATATATATATATATATATATATATATATATATATATATATAAGTAAAATTTAAATGACACTCGGACAAATAACTGATACTTGTAATCCCACATCCAAACAAGGAAAAGGAACCAAAGTGGGTTATCAGTCCTAAGCCTTTTAAATCTTATATATATAGTATACTAGTATGATTTTTGGGAGAAATATAAATTTATAAAAATATTTAAAAGAAGTTTGATATTTTGAAATCCATTTTGGGGACTTGATGTCGTTTAGAACAAACATTGAAAATCATTTGATTTGATGTTAACTGAAATCCATTTTGATAAAATATTTGAAATCACTTGTTTATAACACAAAAACTTTGTGTTAGACTTGTATCCCCCCCCCCTTTAAAACGGTAAAAACTTTGAAAATACGGGGGTATGAACTCACCTGTAGTAAGTTATTCAATTGTAAGATCGTGTAGGATGCTAAGTGTCAAGTGAAGTCTTGAACACAACGGATCCTATTAAGCATATAATGATACATATATGGATATAATTAGTGTATATAACAACTAATTATGATAGGAAACCACTTTAGGGACTAGAAAACACTTGAATATAAGTGTTACAATCACATGTGATTGTTCTAAAGGGGTTTACGGCCACACAAGGTGTTCACGACCATGGAGTTTACGGCCAATGATGTTTACGGCCTAAGAAGATCTTGAGTTTACGGCCGAGGGAGATGATCATGGCCGTAAACTCTTATGTTCTTGGGAAATGGTTGTTTTCAAGGTTGAAAGTTAAGAGCTTCTATAGGATAATTAGTATATGGAAGAATACTTACGTTTTGAAGCTTAAATTGGGTATTCACGGTCTAAAGAACTAGTGTGTGTTCTTGGTGTTCTTGAAGATCTAGCCAAAAGAGATGATTTCATGGATGAAATAATAGAGTTTTACTAGATTAAGCAAGGTATCAACAAATGAATGGAAGAAACACTTACTTATTTGAAGATTAATGTATAAATCTTCATGATATTTGAGAGAAAATCGAGTTTCTTGGGTTGAAAGAGTGAGAAATGGGGAAAAATGAAGGAAATCTATATATATGTGCGAGGGTTTACGGCCGAGGAGTTTACGGTCCGAAGTCAGCAAGACGTTTACGGCTGAAGCCTCGTTTACGGCTACGAGGAGTTTACGGTCCGAGGAGTGTACGGCCGTAAACTCTTTGCGGCCCGAAGTGTTTGCGGTCCGAGGCAATGAATAAGATGCGAAGTTTCTCGGTTTTTAAGCCCTTTCCTTCTAAGTTCAACTATAAATGTTTTAAGGATTTTAGCAAATAAAGGTTATTATCATAACCTTAATAAAAATCCAAATAATAAAAAGGACTTTAGCTAACCTTTGTTTGACTTTGGTTGACTAGAGTTGACTTTACAAATAGAAAATAACGGGCTGTTACATTATCCCCCCGTTAGAGAGAATTTCGTCCCGAAATTAAAGTTTTAAGCAATTAAGCAATTACAAATAACTAAGCGAAAAGATGAGGATATTTCAATTTCATTTGATCCTCGCGCTCCCAAGTGAATTCAGGTCCCCGCTTGGCATTCCAACGAACCTTCACTATAGGAATACGGCTTTGCTTTGTTTGCTTCACCTCTCGGTCCATGATTTCTACCGGTTCTTCCACGAAGTTGAGGCTCTCGTCAATCTCGATTTCATCGAGTGGGATAACAAGAGTCTCGTCGGACAGACACTTTTTCAAGTTTGAGACGTGGAAAGCAAGATGTATGTTACTTAGTTCTTGAGGTAGACGGAGTTTGTAAGCCACAGGACTGATTCTAGAAAGAATCTCAAATGGTCCTATGTACCTTGGATTCAGCTTGTCACGCTTTCCAAAGCGTATCATGCCTTTCCAGGGTGAGACCTTTAACATGACGCGGTCGCCAACCTGGAATTCCAAAGGTTTTCTTTTTTTTGTCAGCGTAGCTTTTCTGTCTATCTCTGGAAGCTTTAAGTCGCTCCCGGATTTGTACGATTTTGTCCGTGGTTTCGCGAATGATTTCCGGACCAGTGAGAGTACCATCGGGAACTTGACTTCTAGCTAACTGCGAATCACCCACTTCAGCCCAGCACAGAGGTGATCTGCACTTGCGGCCGTAGAGAGCTTCGAAAGGAGCAGCCTTTATGCTAGTGTGATAACTATTGTTGTAAGAGAATTCAACAAGGGGTAAATGAGTATCCCATGCCTTACTAAAGTCTATCAATCAAGCTCGCA